TCTTGGCCTCCTTTTTTGCTGGATGCTCGTCCTCTTTCTAGATTGTTGCTGTGGATTTTTGTGCTTTTTTTTAGGACCTTAACACGACTAGAAAACGCTTCAAAAATCCTTATTCATGTGGGTGCCTACTACTACTACTACTACTACTACTACTACTACTGCTACTACTCCAAGCTAGCAATATTTTACTTATACTACATCATGTGCATACAGAAAATGAAAATGTCTTTGGTGAATGCTAAGAAAAATGTGATCTCGTAACAATTCCAACACTACTTTCATGGTAATTACACCACCGTGAATATGAAGATAATGCCAGGGCGTTAGAGGGAGGCATTTTGAGATACAGCACGTCACAGCTGCTGTTGGTCATGCAGACTGCAGAGGCACCCCTACTACAAGAGTACATGTGTATCAACGAAACGGAAGCAACAAAAAACAAACAGCAAGAGAGATGTTGAATAGGTAAGAACTCCCGTTTTCGTATTCCCCGTCAAGTGGAATCAATTATGACAACGTCCAGATTTTTGTGTTTGCAGTCGGAGATCCACCTCATGGTGGTTCGTAAGCGGATTCATCATATGGATATGCGCTACCAAAAATCGAGCCGTGTCTTTTGAAGGTAATCTAGTATCAAAAGATGCTACAACAAAGAAATAGTGTGATATGCTGGCGATAATAAGATCATACACTTACACAAGAATCTGAATTGCAGCTCCTCCTGCCTCGTCAACCTGTAGAAGGAGCAAGTAAAGGAAAAGACTTAAGTTTAGACAATCCAACAACGAGCTAGATCAGCGGGTAGAAATCGCCAGGGAAATCCTAGGCAAGTTGCCGAGTAAATTCCTCCACTCCGTCAAGCTTCGGGGAGGGTAATACCAGCACAGTTTCGTACTTTGTTGCAAATACGTCGAAAATGAACCTGAGGGATTCGGATCGCGGGGCGCTGGATTACGAAGAGGAAGAGGCTTCGGACGAAGAGGAGTCGTCGTCGTTTTCGGGTTCAGCCGGTGAAGTGTCCGGATCTGGGTCTGCGCGTGAGTACCCAGGCTTCCAGCCGTCTTCTAGGCCCACCGATGAGGCTTTTGGCAGAGAGGTCAGACCTGGCGATCGCAGCAAAGATGGAGGTGGAATGGCATTGGGCTCGGACACTAAACTTGTCCAATTTAAGGACCGAGACCACGAAAAGGAGCGGCAAGGCACTGCAGCGGGCGCGCGCGGGGGGTCTCCAAGTTCAGCGCGAAACGTTGCAACGCCTTATGAAGACCAACTCACGAGGTTGCGGAATAAACTACTCCATGTTGGCGAGCGGTTTGTGTTAGGGCTTCATAAAAATAAAAATACCAGGTAGATGTAGTAGATCGATTTCGATATTGCTTTCTGTTTTTTCACGAGACAAGAAAAGTGGCATCGTACAGAAACAGTCCATAATTATGATAAGAGTGCAACCTCCCAAGCAATGCCACGGACGACTAGAACACGCGTTTTTCGTCAGCATGCCTTTTGTTTCGAAAAGTTAAATCTCTTTTTGAAAAGCTCCAATAGTTGGATTCGATCGTGCGATGGAGCAGCTCAGTGTGATGCGTCGCGAAACAGAGGAGCGACGTCTGGACTCGTTACAGGAAAACCTTGGACGAACTTATGGAAGGAGGTAATGAGGACTTTCCCTTTCTTGTGGAGCGATAACTGTGATTGAAGTAGAAGTTTACACGCATAATCGTAGAAGAAAATCTACACCTCGAAGAGAAACAACTAGAACTACCACGACTAAATTTAATCATTTGAATAGAAGACATCAGACATCTTGCTCTGACTGCTGGGTCTTATATAGGTCATTCAACACATCGCTTCCCTGGCTTAATCTCACTCTCTCTGGTTTCTTCATTTTGAAGAGCGACAACTGCATAGCGAGGTCACTCGAAGAGGAGAGCATGCCAAGACGCTGCAGCTAGTGACAGAAAACTGTGCTAATGCAATGCTCGATCGTGTCCAGAAGCGCATCCAGAACCATATGAGGCAAGTTGTCGCAGCATTGGATGTATGATAGGATGAGCAGGCGGTTGTGGCTGCCGTGCCCCTCTTTTATATGTATGATGAGATGAAAAGGAACAAGCGGAAAAATAAATATTTTGATGTATCATTCACATTCTGATCATTGGTACAACTACAACTCGATTACAACTTGGGGTAGCTCCTTGCTGCTACGTTGACATTAAGTAAGACCTAGGTGGTCAGATTCATCTGATTTCAGTCTCGCTGTGCTTCTTCGACCACAGTTGTAAAACGCGCGTCATTTTCGAAATGAGGTTTCTTCCCTCATCTTGAAGATACCAACTACAACATATGCTACTTTTCATCTACCTCCCTTGCGGCGCGTTGCCTCACACTGGAGCGAGCGATCTTGCAATTTCGTGGCGAACTTCCGAGTAAGTTGACGATTGACGCTAAGCATCTTTCCGACAGCGTGAACTCTCTCAAGTCTAAAATGCGTGGCTTTGTGTCGGACGGCCAGACAGAAGAGGAGCACGTAGAGTCGTTATTAGCAGAAGATGGCGCGATCTTAAAAAGCGAAAGTGAAGGCGCAAGCAAGGACAAAGCACCTCCTCGAAGAGTCCGAGTGCTGATGGATGACGATGATGATAAGCAGGCCGCAGAAAAGAAGCAGAGCAAGGAGATCGACCTGGGTAGCAGCAGCAGTCGCAGTGCTTCATCCTCTAAGAAAAAATCCAACTCCCTCGACAGCACCGTGAACCAAGGCACATCCAACAAGTCTGGAGTGCTGTTGGCTGAGACTGCTATCCGCTTGGGTACTCAAATGTCGCGTCAGGTTGGACGCTTTGTCCAAGATAGCGACAAAATGGCGGCCGATATCTCAAGCGGTCTAGAAATGCTGGCCAAACGCAATGAGACTGAGGAGAAGGCGTTCCAAGATTTCGTCTCGAGCGAACTCAAAGTCGTCAAGCGTGGCGTCGATCTGGAATTATGGATCATCTTGGAAGAAGATGAATATGATTTAGAGTCCGTTGTGGCTGTTGTAGTAGTTGTAGTATCGTCTAGAAAATGAAAAAGGAGGTCTAAGATATCTTCTAGAATAAGGAGGTCTACCACGTATACTTTCATTATGATGCAAGTCAGTACTACTTCATCTAGGTCGTACTCGTAGTGCAATAGCAATTTACTTGAAGAAGATGATGACCCACCTTTCCATGTAGTGCTGTTAGATTTGCAACATTGATTATTCGGGTATTATGTATTTGTATGTGTTTCTCTCTTGCCTTTGCTCGTGCTGCTGAATAAAAGCGTCACTCCTATGGAGTAGGTCAACAGCGCCACTGCTTGTCCTGTACCGCTTGTTCGTGGTGTCCGTGTGAAAGTCTCTAACCTCCGGGAAAGCGCGACAAAAGACCGATGAGGAGATTCTGAATGCTATCAATGTGTACAGCGGCGCGCTGCAGAAGGCTCTGAGAACAACAGCTGCTGGTGCCGTAGGATGATCCCTCCACCGCAAAACGTGCGAATATATCGAAAACCACATTTGGAATAATTGCTGTGGAAGCCGCAAAGGCGCAATGTTCATTTTATTTGATTCAATCCAAATGCGTAACGTAGTTGTTTAGTGAGCCGCGCTGCGCCTGTCCCTGTGTAAAATGTGATTTCGGACTTCGATATTCATGAACACAGAAAATCAACAACTCGGAAATGCGATCAACCCATGTTGAAATTTGGAAGCCTGCTCTTCATCTTCCTTCATCAAATGAATAGACCTTTGAGAATTTCCACGGCTCTGATTCAGTCAGGCTAAGCGTGTTGTACCTACTATGCAAGCTGTGTTGGCTTCATGCCGGAACATGTTACAGAACAGTTTCAGTGCTCCAGTAATTACCTTTCACTCAAAGCCATCGCGTCGGCCGCGAGGTAGAAGATTCGTGTGACCACCGCGGGAAATAAAATGAAATGTCTTATCACAGCAGACAACCACGACTACCACAACCTTATTTCAATTTCATTGAGGGATCTTTCATTCCATTTTCGATTCTTCACACTAATCTTGCCCTTGCGTGTGCTCATTCGATTTTGCAGGTCCCGGTCCTTGTCGTTTACATTTGTCATTCATCAATAACGATAACTATCAAAGGATCTACTTATTAATATCATCTATCTTTCCTTTTATTCCCCGTGCTGGTTATAGTCACTTTTAGTCAAGATCATACGATAGGTCCTACGAGAGACAACGATACGGATAGTGCGAAATAGACGCAAACTGAAGAAGCTTGTCCTTAGTAGATTTAGACTGCACTGTGACTTCGCACCATTTTGCTGGCCCGGTTCACGCTACGTAGAGCGCGTGTGCATTAGTTCTTCGCTGCTTCAGCTTCGCATTTCCATTTGATGTTCTTGCTCTTATCGTCGCAAATATTCTCTTATTCTTTCTCTTTTTTCAATTTGGATTCATGAGAGTCCTTGTATGTCGAGCAGGACAAAGATTTTGATGAAGTTGTGTTGATCCGTTAGAGTTACATGTGAATGTGTAGTTATGTAAAATATTCCTTGGTTGTATTATTAGCGAGTTAGTTCTTGTCATACTAGAAAGATGGCACGTGGAAGCGGCCGGGACTGAGTCCCGCGTGTTGTCTCATTCGTTGCAGCTCCCCACACACTCAGTTCCTCGAGTTCCAGTAATCGGAGTAGTCGTCGTGACGATTACGCTCCAGCAGCCGCAGCCTTTTGAAAAGAAATCACCATTGAACAGCTTCGCAGCCGAGGAGCGGGAGACGCGTTCTAGTTTTTGCTCCAGGGTTTTACTGTAGCCAAGACTTCAAGTCTACGGACCACTAACTTAGTTCCAGCTGTAAACGAGGCAAAAACAGAATCAGTCGTTGTACTAAGACTTTCTCTAGCGCAATTTACTCGCCACATCAAAAAGAAAAATACACGCCGTCTACAAGCAGCAACCACTGTCTTCGCGCCGTAGTTTTTGCTTTTCCACGTATGCTGCACTTCTGGTCGCGGCCTTAGGTGCGTGTTAGCATCTGTGCTGTTTGAAAACAAAACATCTTTCTGCTGGTTCTCGCGGAAACGAAAAGAGCAACGAAACTTCGATTCCAGGAGCTTGGATGAACTACATTGCTCGATCTTGCCTGTTGATGTTAGTACATTAAAAATAGTAGAGCGCTACTAGGAATATCTACTACGTACAGCGAGATTTCTCTCAAGAACGGTTTCCGAAATATCTCGAGTTTGTGGTGCTGTGTCGGGCGTAATCAACAGAGTAAATCGAAGGAAAAAGCCGAGCGGTTCTGATACGTCGCAAAACACTCTACTTTTCGAAACCAAGCTGCTGCATGTAGAAGGTTGGTACGAGGCAAAACTAACAAATGTAGGTCAGCACCGGACCACGAGACACTACTTCGAAGATAGCACAGACATAAGACTACGTTCCTGTAGCAGCCTCCCGTTATTTGTTGCCGACGCAGAGCAACGGCTGTGCTTCGGAGAAACAGGAGGACCAGAAGACCATTTGTACTAGTTGGAGACGTCGCTCTCAACTCGGAACTGGAAGCCGTGTTTGCAGGAGAACACTTTTTGTAAGAACAGCATGAATTCCAGCGACTAGTACTACCACACAAGTATCAAGTAAGTTACTTACTTAGTAGATGATAAAGTCTAGTAAAGCAGCCTCAAGACGCGAGGACCCTGTGGGCCAGTGACAAGTAACAGTAGCAGCAGGTCGTACTACTTGGATAGATATCGGAGACAGCGTAAACAAGTAGTCCGTATTGGCGAAGCAACCAGAGCTGCCCTAATAGGAACATTTGCCTCATTCGGTATCGCGTGGGACGAAACCACTGACGAAAGCAACAACTCGAAGGGGATTCGAGGCGGAGCCACACCATTGACTTTGATCCGCGGTACTTCTTAGGTTTTACTTCTCCTTGGGTTCTCTCTGCCGCTTCTCCTCTACAGCCAAGACTTCATTTTGACTACAACACCAATTAGGCGTTATTCAAGCTTCTCTTCCAGAAGAACGAGTAGCGCGAGTACGATTTTTTTTACGACAAGCTGCTGTACCGGACGACGAAGACTTTTACTAGTACGTACCACGTTGCCGTCTTGCGGAGGAGGTTTTTCAGGGTTATAATACACGAGCTGGCCATCATCTCGCGGGCAGAGCGGTGAAAAATGGGAGAGAAAGCACGTCCCGGAGAACACAGCTATGAGCGGCTTCGTGAGGTTATGCCGTGCGCTGAGCACGAGAATGAGTTCTGGATTCGCGACGTTACGAGATATCAAGACGGCGAAAAGATTCGGTCGGAGCCCTTTCAAATTGGGAGCTTCAGGTAGAAGTGAGGAAATGAAAATTATCAATCACAAAATAAAGAAAAGCGACGACTATTTTCAATTTTATTTTTTGCAAGAGATATTCTCGAAGAACCACGGAGGACGCGGAGACTACTTATCCACCGCATTACTTTGTGGCTGATCCTCACATAGTAGATGTTGTCCAAAAAAGTCTCATCTTCAAACATTCACTTTTTTTCATAACTCCTGGAACAACTGCTCAATCCTCTAGGTATCGGCTGTTAATCTTTCCTTTTGGCACTGGGAACTCCCGAGGACCACCTACTTTTGCTGGCTTCGTAGAGGCAGATCCGCCTCCAACGGTCGACCAGGAAAGATGGATGTACCACGGTGTCAGGTACTCACACTTTGAAAAACAGAAAACGACTCCAATCTGTGTGCATTATGATGGAGACGACGTTGAACTCTACGATTTCGATATAAACTTACTCACTTTCTTATTTGACTTATTTTGAGTATCATTTGTCACTGTGAACAAGTTATCTTGAGCAACGTACTGATATTTGAGACGCAGGGAGAATAGAGACTAACGCGGTCATTTCTTAACCGATTTACAGGTATTCGATAACGCTGATTAACCAGCTGGATTACAATGATTCTGTCCATAAAAGCGACACCTGGACATTTAGCAAAAGGGAAATCGATCGAGGATGGCACGCTTTTATCTCATCAAAAGACCTATGCGACCCCAGCAAGGGATGGATCAACAACGAGGAGGACAGGGCGGTATGATACTTATTCTGTGTGTAAGTATGAAAATGAAGATCAAGATTTCTTGTTCAACTCATCAAATTCTAGCATCGAGTTTATCGTTTACGTTTACCTTAAATGTGACGAGAATATCCGAAAAAATTACAGTGCGTCATGCGTGTCCAGTGTTATTGCCGAAATTCTGAAACTTTGTCGACGATAGGGGGTGACTACGATTCCAAGAAGGAAACGGGCTTTATAGGACTGAAAAATCATGGCGCGACATGTTACCTCAACTGCCTGCTTCAGACGCTGTTTCACATCGGGAAGTTCAGAAAGCTGGTACAACAACTATCGATTTTTATTGTTGAAATTATACATATAGGTAGTCGTAGAGGATTTTTGAAAGTAATCTCACCGGACGAGATCGTCTTCTTTCTCGTGTTCTCTGGCCACGAACAAAACTTTTGCTCTTGCTCATCATTCTCCTACAAAGAGCGGCTCAAATCCTTGATCTACGTCAACATTCGCCGTAGGTGTATGAAGCCGACACGAGCGAGCAGGAGCCTGCAGCACCGCAAGGCGGTGATAAGAAAGCAGCAGCAGTCGCCTCGTCATCTAGTCACCAGGCTCCACAGCCTCCAAATCTTCTCAAAGCCCTGCAGAATAGCTTCTACGCGTACTTGCTCATTTTCCTAAGATTAACGATCATCATCTTAACAGAAACAGTGGTCCAAATCCAACTAGTGCTAGTGGTGGCATCAATATGATTTCCCTCTACTTGTACCACAAGTTAGTGTAGATGCTGGAGTACTAGATAAAAATCAAAGTTGTCAAGAAGATCAATAATGGGTAGTACGAATATGCCTACAGCAGCTCCTACATTGCCAGCATGATTTTGAATGTTTTCTCGTATCACAAACATGATAATAAGAATATTCTGACATCTTCAGCTTGCAGACCTCATCGCAGGCGGGAAACTGTAGGGAATTGATGCGCTCCTTCGGCTGGGAAAGCGTAGATGCCTTCACACAGCATGACTATCAGGAGCTGAACAGAATTTTGCTGGATAAGGTAGAGGAGAGGCTAAAGTCAAGCCCAAAACTAGACGGGGAGATTAAGAAAATGTTCGCGGGAGAACAGGAGTCCTACATAGAGTGCACAGACGTGGACTACGCATCCAAAAAACTGGAGCCATTCTACGACATAAATCTCAACCTGAAGACAGACGACGGATCGTATTCGACATAATATTAAGAATAGATTGTAGTTCCTGACGTTCTTGATGTTGATGGTGATGTTGATTTTCAATTTTGGGTGTTGGTGATTCATCTTTCTCCTACCTTTTGAAATTGATTGCACAGGAGGCTTTTCATGAAGAGTATGTAACGATTGTATCAAAAATGAAAATCTACATTTTCGAATGAGGAACAATTCATCTCCCCCTCTTGTTCCATCAGGTGGGTGAATAGTTTGGAGGATGCGTTCCGGGATTATGTGAAGGAGGAGATTATGGAGGGCGACAATGCCTATGACGCCAGCGATGGCGGCTTCGGCAAGCAGAGGGCGAAGAAGGGAATCCGCTTCAAGTCACTTCCACTCATTTTCAACATCCTGTTGAAGCGATTCATCTTCGACCTGGAAACGCTAGACACGATCAAGACCAATAACGAGATGCGGTTTCCGAAACGCATAGACTTGTCAGAATACATCCCAGGGAATGAGCCAGCCATATATACCTTGTTTGGCGTCACGGTGCAGACGGGAACTGTGAGCAGTGGGCACTATTACTGTTTCCTCAGGCCATGGATGGAAGAAGAAAACGAAGTCGGAATAACAAACTGGATCCGATTCGACGACGAACAGATCACGCGTGTTACAGAGTACCACTTACTTTTATGATGTCCTCTTCAACATGCACTACTTCGTCCTGTACATAATTGAATAAGTAATCGTAAACGAATGCTAGAAGAAAGGCCAAATAACACGTACTTGCTTATGCTTTGTTGTTAATCTAAGTAGATGTTGAATATAGATCGCTTTATTTTCATTTGCTCTTGCCGATCGACGTAGTAAGTTTCTACTAGTTGCGTGCGTGGAGTGTTATCACGACACGACTGATTTGGAATCTATTCTCCATTGTTTCTACAGCTACGCAGCGATGCACGACAATTATGGCGGCGATGACCTGAATGTCCACGATTACTCGAAGTGTTCGATACAGGAGCTGATAGAAAAACAGTATTGGAAGAGGCAAAACTGGCCCAATGTTGCCCAGCGAATTAGCAATGCGTACATTCTCGTGTACATTCGGGAAGACCAGGTCCAGGAAATGCTGAAACCCCCACCACCCTCACCAGCTCTAGTGGACCGCATACAACGCGACATAGAGCAAAAACAGAAGGCCAAATACGAAGAACAAACAAGGGTACTTGTTGTTCATCATAAGGGAGCATGATATAATTGTTGGTGTTCATGTAAGTAGTTGAAATAAGAGTAGTGTCAGCATAGTCGTTCCTGGAATATGTTATGCTACAAAATTTTATAAAATTCACAGGTTCTCGTCCAAGTAGTTATGGAGCGTGATCTTTTAGCGAAGCAGCCATGCGGATTCTGGGACACTCAAGAAGGGACATCGAATACTCTCCTGGAATATTTTGACGCGCCAAAGGAAACCGCTAACAAGGTAATCTGGCAGAAGTTGCATGAGGGAGTGAAAGCATTATGGATGGAAAAAGTCATGAAGTGTCTTTTTTTGAGAGTACGTACATGTCGCGGTAACCACAATGATTACTCAACTCAGAAGAATTTCAGCAGGACTAAAATGAAATCAGATTTTTGCTCAGCTTCACAAAAATAGTACTTGTTGTATTTGTAATATATTGTGACAAAGACAAAATATGTACTGGCTAATATTGCGCATAGGGCCAGCGCCATGGTTCTTCTGCGTACGGCATCATGTGCCAACTCTCTTTCATTTTGAGCCGCGCAGGACCCGAGTACAGGAGTACTTTGCACAGAGGAGCCACTGTTTGCTATCGAGCATTTTGCGATGTTCGTACTCAGAAGGCGATCAAATAGGCAGATTCGGTTCAGCGTTCTTAAGGTCAACCACAGTATCAAGGAGACGCTAGGAAACGACACGCCAGTAGAAGTCCATCGGTTCGGCTCGCAGCCTTTAGACACCCACACGCCGAAAATGACAGTACTGTTGGAGATTTTGATTCGCCTGATGATTATGGTAGCTACAACTGCAGCCGCGCTTGCATTATTTTCATGTTTAATAAGTATAAAAAGTGGCGTGATTATGTCGATCAACTACAAGAAAGTGAGAGATATTAACAGGTCCTTGCACTTGCATGCAATGGCTACGATCCGGAGTCATTTCTTTGGAAACCAGAGGAGTGGCACTTACACGGGAACGAAAGGGATGAGAAGCCAATGCCGATATACAATACGAACGAAGAGGAGCAGTGCACTCTTATCATAAAGTATTTCTGTCCTTATACGAAAAATATCATGATGTTGGGCTGCGTCTACACTAGCTACCAGAAGCGGATATCTACGCTGCTTCCGTGGGTTATGCGGCGGCAAAAAGCAATCGCGGAAAAATATCCGACACTCTGCGAGCCCGCGCCACCACAGTGCAGGTGGGGCTGCTTTGAGGAGTTCAGCAACACAGAACTCAAGGAGCTCAAAATTGACGACGGTATCACAGTGATAATACTTCTATTTGATCTACTAGGCACTAGCACCACGAAGCTTCCTAAAGTCTTCCCTGTACAGCTGCTGCCTCCACAACTAGCAATTTTTTTTATCCTCTTGCCATTGTTGTTGAGGAAGAGCTTACTGTGATATATTATATTTTATAAGATCATGAATGTAGTTTACATCTATTTGATCTGCAACGAGTCGCTAAGCAATGCCAAGATCGTCTCGTTGTACGCAGATGACAGTCATCATTGAGTCTACTACAATCGTGTCTCCTGTAGAAGTACCTTGTGCGTCCTCGCCTCTTCATTACTAGGCATAAAAGGAGCTGATCTGTATACCGGTGACATTCTGATTTGGCAACCCCTTGATGTTGAGTCGGAGCAGCAAGCGCCACTCAGAGACGAACCCCCTTGTAATACGGTGGAGCAGCTCGCTCAGAATATTCAAAACAGAGCCACGGTACTTATACTAGCTAGCACAGCCGCACTCATACTAATATTACGTCATCATCGTCTATAATTATATTCTGTTGATAGACAGCATCGGCTTCGGCGCCATACACTATTATAGTTTGAAAGCGTGGGATAATTGACTAAATTGCAATTTTTCATATTCTTGGTCTACAGTCGTAGTTCCACCAGTTACTGCTTTTCTCTTCGTCTTCACCTCGCAGTTGCGAATAATCTTCCACGATGCGTCTGAGCCTTGGGCCATCGATGGGGTTACAGCAGAAGCATCAATGTGGAATGCCGGTGCGAAAGTCGTCGAGGAGGACGAAAATGGTTCAAATTCTGAACAAGATACCTCCAAAAGATGCCACGAATTTCAAGTCGATCTAAGAGCCAAGGTTGCGAATGTGCTCCAGACGGTATTTTCGATGAAAGAAGTTGATGAAGTGGGCTGATGTTATTATTTCAGTAGGACCTCGGGTTTAATATGTTATGCGTCTAGTATTTCTTTGATGAATTACACGTCCTCCTTAGAAGATGAAGTAAATGATAGAACCTGCTGTAGTAGTTGTACGTAAATAAAAATCCCTTGCAAAAATTTTCGCAGTAACATCATTTGGAATCAAATCAGATTGCTACGCATTTTGGAGTGACCAATCGAGATCGGCTTTGGATTTTCCGACATGCGCCGGCAGGCAATTACGAGGAGCCTCTATCACCGCACAAGAATAAGGATGAAGAGGCAATGACCTTGAAAGATCTCGGCGGCCTTCCTGTGCCTCGACAGCTTACCCTTCATGCCGTAGAGCTCCCAGAATATCCAAAATCCCTATGGAGAAAACAAATTCACAACCTGCATGAGGACATAGTGGCAGCAGACAAAACGGCGAATTATCAAGCGGACCCAGCGGGAAAGTCTCTCTCGGTAAAGATATTTTATAACGGGAAGTAAATCTTCTGCTGGTCATGGATGTAAGCAGCTAGTCGTGATCTGCATCACCGTGTTCTTTTACAATGATCTTTAACGTCATCTTGGTATTAATCAACTTCTACTTCTCACACCATTGCTGGATAATATTGTGCACTGGATAGTTCTTTCATCGTATCAGAAAATCGCTGTTAATAACTTGCCACACTTTCAAATTCAACTTGAGAAAATAAATACGAGGACTTCCTGATCCTGCTGAACAATTGTAGCGACCTCCTCCTTGTTCCCATTATACCTATGACATGGAAAAACTCAGATCGTGTTGCGATATTTCGACGAGCATGTGGAAGAGAAGGGTATGGCAGTGCTTCCGGAGTTGCACTACAATACCACAGCAGCGGATGCCATAAGGGCAGGCTTGCAGAAATTCCTGAACAGAGAACCATCCCCGGAGGTACACAACTATCTTTATCGTGAACAACTCGTTAAATGATTCCACAAGAGTATTCAGAATTCAGAATGATGATTTCTAGTACTTCTTCATCCTTGACACTTCAACTTCTGCAACACGGATGTAAAACTGCCATTTTCTTTTTATTTATCATGGGAGAGCGACGTAGGACACTTTAAATATTTTTCTTCTAGTTGATATCATAACTTTTTACATCATAGGACGTGAAGGGACATCGACTCTGCGTGGTGAGTCTGAATGGAAAACAGCTAGATATAATACCAGAGGATGTCGTTATCCGGGAGATTGAGATCGTCCGAAGACCAAACGTCCTATGGCACTGCCTGAGGTTAGAAAAGGCAGCCGAAAGTATTCTTATTTTTTTCTTGATGGTCTTCTTTCTCATGCGGTCTACTTAATCAAATAAGTTTTCGTGTATTTGAACCTCGCCACTCAACGAACTAGCGAGTGGGAGTACAACATTCTTAGTAACATTAACATAGATTATGAGTATGTCGTTCCACTTGTTTCTGCAGGTGCGACACCACCAGATGGGGCTGATCCTATGCAAGTTGATGGTAGCACTACGAATACTATGACTATGGTTACGTGCTACCACGCAGAGCGAAGCAACACGACAATTCCCTACGGACATCCGTTCTTCCTCCCGATCTACGTTACGGATACGGTATGATTAAAGTATAGGTCCTCGTACTCACACTGGAAGAAGTAGTAGTCGTCGCAAAAAACTCGTTACGTCCTACTTGAGAATCAGGGTACCTTATATATATAATTCCGCCGCCTCCAATTACTTATATATGTTCCAGGGCGCGGGGCGACGGCCCCCGTCCCCCCCCTAGCGGGGGGGGGCGGGCGCCCTGGACCCCTTTTTGAGGCGTCTGCCGGGGGAGGAAGGCCTCAAAAGGGGGCCAAGGGGCCACCCTCGGCCCCTTCCCGAGCTCCCCTGGAGGTCTGGGAAGTAGGTGGAAGGCCTCAAGGGGAGACCAGGGGGCTCGCTGCCTCCTTCTCGTTTGCATGTACCCTACAGACTTGAAGGGTTAGATGGCTACAGACAAAAGGGGCCCACGGGACCGCCTGCGCCCCCGTCCAGGTGCCTGCGTGTGCCCTCAGTGCATCCGGTAGGCTTCGCCGCCGCAGCAGTGCGCCGGCAGCGGAAGGCCTCCGAAGACGGCAAAAGGCGAGGGGCTGGACCCCCTGAGCCGTGCCGCCTGTACCCTCCGGGCCCTTGGTCATCGGCTTGCTTGCTCTTGCGACCGTGGCCCTTAGGAACACGCTGAGAGGCCCAAGGGGAGGCCCGCGCCAAGTTTTGACGCCTTCCACCACTAGAATCCGCGAAAAATCCGCGCGGAAAAGCGCGCGGGGGCGCTGCCACAGACCAGACCACAGGGGGGGGAGGGGGGGCCGTTCGGCCCTGAGTCATATATCAGAGTAGTTTATAGCACGCATGGAGTGCATGGAGCGCATGGGCCGCAGAGCTTTAAGGGGCGCAAGAAGCTCCCCCTTTAGCTCCATGCTACTCCATGTGATCCATGCACTCCATGCCATGCGAGCTGTGAAACCTTATAAATTGCTCTGATATATATATATTATAACCATGAGAAGTCATCGAGGTGCAAAATACTTAGTAGAGGAACATATAGCACAGTTGCGGAATTCTCTCACCTGCTCTTCCACAGCCACTCAAATTCATCCAGGTTCCAGCGATAAAGCAGAGAGTGAAGGATAAACTCCGAGTTCCAGAGCGTGAGTTCAAGCAATGGAGACTTGGTAAGGTGTTGCCGCCCCCTTCTGAGAGCCTGCTGTACGAGCATGCACAGCGCAATTTGCTGCGAGATGAAGACTCGGTCCTTGAAAACTTCTTTTTATGAACCCAACTAACACCAAATACTTCTAAGCCGCTGCAATCATTAAAAGCAAGGAAATACGCTAGCAATTAGTTATTGCGCTCCGTGATCATGGATGTAAGCACGCAGAAAGCAAAGGAATACGCCAGGGCTAGCAGCAAACATGAAAAATCCTCCAAACAGCCCTCCCCTTCCTTTACCTCCACAAATTCCTATTCGTTTAAGATTCAATGAACTAGTTTAGGGGTGATAGAGTTTGTTGGTTTGTTTTGATGCGCTCCGGGCGCCGTGTACGATCCCGCCGGATTTCTTTTTGCTCTGTGTGTGTTATGCTATGGCCGTCATTGCGATCGACTATGGTGCGCCTAGTCAGCACAGTCTTCGCCAGCTGCAGCTTTTATGGCATGTCGGGCGCGGTGTGCAGGCGGCGGCGACTGTGCGGAGGTAGCGCCTGGCGGTGAGGCGCGGCCGGGTTTGGTTGACGTCTTTGCGACCTGCGTGCTCCGTTCTTCGCGTTCTCGTTCTGCCTTCGTTCTCTTACTCTTTGTCTTTGCGTGCTAACTTTCTTGTCTCCTCCTTGCTCGTTCTTTGTTCGCCACCACGCACCTACCTCGGCCCCCGTCCTATCGTAGCGGGCAGCGATGGGCTTACCACAGCGGCCGCTGCTCGTTTCCCCTTGTCTTCACTGGAGGCGTGGCGGCTGCGCTCGCAAGAACGCACCGCTGAAGTTGGTCGCCAAGTCGCGCAGGTATGGGATGAGCTGCTTCGGGTTCGACGCAGCCGCCCCAACAGTCGCCGGAATACCGTGGGTCTCTGCTAGTGCTTGGAGGGCGGGGCACTTTGGTAGGTGCTGCGTGCTTGCCGCAAGGCCAGGGCAAAACGGGCAGCCAACGTCACCCCCGGTGACTCCGCTCGCCAAGCGTCTCAGTCTGAATGCGTAGGATCTCCGCTCGCCCTCCCGCGAGCATGCTACGCCCCGCAAGAGGTCCTTGGCCTTGCGGCAGTTGCCTGTGTCTGTCACGGTCTTGGCCGTCTTGCTCCCTGTGCGCGCTGCTCCGCTTATCTGGCGCGACTTGGGTGAGAGAGTTACCTTGACGCGCTACAATCTAGTCCTCCTCCTCTCATCATTACTTTTACTGCGCCCCGTTGAACTGAAGATGATCATAAATAGAAGTTTGCATGCTAAGTCGATGATCATGGTGTCGGATACGAGATGAAAGTACGAAAGTACAAGTTGTAGTGCTCTATTTCTGTTCACTTATTTTCGACGCTTCTAATCTCTCCTCCGGTACCGGAAGGCAGACGAGCTCCAGGGCCGCGGAAGATCTGCATCGAGCACGCGCATCCTCCAGGTCAGAACCAGCATAGGGGCCGGCATAACCCGAAGGCCCGCGGAGCGCTCACAATCAGATAAACTCCTATGGAAAGGAACAAGGCTCTTATGGTGGACGGGAGCTACTTACAACTGTCCCAGCGTGGGCACAGTTCTACAACTTGGCGTCAGATACATTTTTGTTGATCTTGATTGATACGAATCGCAACAAGATGAAAACGATTTTTTTTACCTTGATGTCTTGGTGTTGCGTCGGGGCAGATACGGTTTCCACCTGTAGATTCTGATAGGTTGAGAACCAGGTGGAGGATGCGGTTACTGCTGTGACGCACATTCACCACAGGGAGGACTAGTTGTATGACTTCTGGCAAAATCGATATGAATAAAGTGATTTGTAATAATTTGTATATTCAGCCTCTTGGAATCATCAGCCTCGAGAAGTGCTGGCACTGTGCGAAAAACCCACGCGAATATTCGCAGGCTATTGGTTTAAGAGTTCGATCTCACGTGTTTCACTTTGTGACATTATTTTTATGTGTCACACGCTACCACTACCTCCTGAATCAGAATCGATGTCCGAGGTGGTAAAGTTTTTTATCGAGGTTCTCTGTCTCGCCTCTATTTGAACGTATGTCTATACGTCTACGGCCATGTGGTCAACAACGACAACGACAGAGATGAAATGTCGGGATAATGATTATGCCGCTGAAGTTGTGGTCAGCGTTGTTAATCAACCCTTGTCACCACGTTGTGAACGTGTATCATGCTGACAAGATGATTATCTACATGCTTATTTATCTTTTGTTGCATCATTTCCTACGTTTACTAATATTGCTGGTCAAATAAACGTAACCTGTCAATTTTGACGCGGCACATTCATATCAAATATAATACTACCACTTACCGTAAGTCCTATTCAGAATGATCGGTATTCGTTGATTAGACTTTTTCATTTCCGGCACGGGTACGTGTTTATCTTCATCTTCAAGAGCAATAATACCGGAAAAAATAACATAGGGGTAAAAGTGAAAGATGGGGGTGCATCTGCATAAAATCAAACCTCAAAGCAAGGATTAATATGTAATTCTAGTCGCGCTCATGCTTGTCAATAATAAGCAGATGAAAAAAGGTTAATGTGCTTGGGATCGAATAAATTTAGTTTTTTTTTTCGCAACAGAAATGAGATAATGTATTCAGTGAACAAGACCTTCAAGAATAGCTAGTTACTAGATCGACTGCTTGTCGTCTTGTTGTTTGTACGTCATCCGTCCCTGAATCTCCTGCCAGTTTATGTACATGGATCCACGTGAATACTGAGAAGGGAGAAACTTCCCGGAATCTTCCCAGAATCTTCCCGGATGAATCTATCCCGTCTTCTCGCTAGCAATGGCCTCGGAATCTTTCCAGAAACTTACCCCAGTCACGACTGGGAAACTTTCTGGAAACTTCCCAGAACCTTCTCAGAATCTTCCCAGAAACTTCCGAAAAGTCACAAAAGTAGCGAAGTTTCTGGAAAGTTTCCGCGAAGTTGCTGCCTTCGGGATTCACGTGGCTGGATGTTTCTAACCAGTTCCCCTCTATATATATAAATACCTGCTCATCCGCCTCAACTCAGCCGGCGCACTTTGACAAAAGCTAGCCACTTACGAGAACCGCATGTCAGATGATGGGCATTCCAACCCAGCATCCAGTTTTTGTAATGGGCCGACCCCAACACCAACAAGCTCATCGAGTTTATTTCTCAAGCAGGCGACATTGACACGCAGCTTCTACAAGTTCCGACCATTCTATAGGTCGCGCACGCTGCTGCGTTTGTGGGGCGGCGTACTTCCTCTCTCATCCTTTTTATTGTGGAGGAATAGGAATACTATTACTCGTCTCATGTACCTCATCCATGATCAGACAGGAAAGAAAAAAAGATGACAAAATCAAATTTTCTACTAGCGAGTCGTAGAAGAAGGTCCAGAAGCACGGTTTGGATGCGACTGATTAGTCGTTAATGGACAACTACAACAGCTGGTTCTAGTAGCGAGTCTCTATGATGATGATCTTGTACAACTCCCGTCTAAAAAAGAGCCTTTGAGAGAGCAAGAATGTCGCAACCAACGAGGAAAATCTGGGTCTTCTTGTAATAAAGATGATTGTACTTCTAATGACAATGACTGAGAAGTGCTGTGACTCAAGACGAGTTATCGAGGATGAAGAACGAGCATCGTGATAATGTTTAGAGTCTGTCTTTATTTTTTTGAGTGCCCGCGTCAGCCTTCTCACGAGACCAGGAGATGCTAAAGCTCTGTAGTGATTTTTTTGGAGTGATTAATAATCGAGAGAAGTCGAGGTGCAGGTCCTGATGCTGTTGAAGTTGATCAGAATCAGTGGTGATTATATAATATATAAATTCTTTAATGTTGTTATTGTATGTCACTAAGTTCTTTGAGCAGAAGATCGGGGTAAACACATGATGTAGAGAGAGGAAGTGCAAATGCAGATGCTCTTGAAAACGAAAATCGATCTTTCAAAAATGTAATCATGTGTCAGGCCCGCGCTTGTTCTCTGTGGAACCCCGTACACAATTTGGCAAAACATGCCATCTGCATCTTCAAGTTACTCTTTTTTGTTTCCTTATAATTTTCATTTTATCCATAGGATTCATTCTAATATAATTTCGTTTCCATATTTGTCTGAGTTTTGTTCTTTATGTCGCTACTCGTAACGCAAAAAGACGGCGTGTAACTGTAAGTACACTATTTTTGGAGCATGATTAAGAACGCGGTCGTTAGATCGACGTCGGCTGCTGATCTCTTTCCTTGATTTTTTGTATTTTTTTTGATAGTGCGAGAATCGAGAAGTGAAGAGACTTTTAGCATCAAAAGTAGGTCACTACGTTGGACAAGTTGATGGATGGCTACGCAAACAGCGCAAGAACATTCACATTCAGTCTCCTGTAGGTTTGTCGATGGTAGTTACGCACAGAGAATCATGGTTCATGAGTAGCATAAGATTCGCAAAATGCTCGATCCAGTAATTGTCGTGGTTAGCTATATCATGCTAGTGAAGATACAGATGAGTCGCGGAGACAGCCCAAGCACCAGAACGTCTTCACCTTTATCCTCCCGTGGCCGACGCACGCTCACAGATGAGATGGCTGTAGTTTTCTCATCAAGATAACCAAGTGCAAGTTGTTGTAACATTGATAAATAAACTCGAAGTGAATCCACCGTTTATCTAATTAGCGCAGTGACTACAGTGATTTTTGAAGTACTTAAATGGTAGGACAAAGACCGGAAAGTCCGCAACGACTTTTTTAAATTTATTTTTTCATGTATGAGTGTGCTGTAGTGAAGAGGAAATTTATTTGTAGTTTCATCTCGTGATAGTGTGTTGGCTAACGGCCTCTAATTAAATACGTTAGTTAAAACCCAACGAGAGGTATCATGACATGACATGTTGGAGTGAGTATTTTTTGATTTTTGAGAAATAGGTTGCTTGTTGTGGTTCGACGTAGTTTGCATTTGTTCGTCGATCATTTTTTGTCTTGGTCAAATACCTCACCGATCAATATGGCGCCACAACTTCTCGTTGACGATGCGTCTTCTGCCCCGACGCAGAAAGATGCTGGAGATGCCGATGCGCAGCTTGTGCTGCAGCGGGACCTTGAGAAGGGCGTAAAATCGAAACGGCGGCCTGCCTGGACCTGGTCAGATACTAGCAGGCAACTTCGCTTTCTCGGTCTCGGATTTGGCGGCTATTTTTTGCTCATTGCGGTCCTGGGCACGGTGATTCGTCTTGTGTGTACCGGCATTCAGGACGTGAACAATTTACAGCAGAAAATTGCAGACGTTATTGGACAAGGGGAGCTGTCAACGACCCTTGGTGCATCAAACGATGCTGTTGCAACAGCAGCGAATTCATCAAGTAGCTCCTCGAGCGAAACAGGGAATAGCCATATTGTCGTGGAGACCCAACAGGGTCGAATTATTCCCTACGAGGATTTAGACACGCGAGCTCATATGTTTGCGCAAGTCTTCGCGATTCCTTTGTCGGTGCTGTTTATCTTCGTGTTTACGGTGCCATTCCTCCTTATCGTGTGCGCTAGCAGTGAAAAATTCATACGACCTGAAGATTTTCGCTTCTTTCATGAGAGCCACTGGTACAATGCGCGTGACTCGCCATTCATACAGCCGACAAACCAGCAACAGCAACCTGGTGCGGGGGAATCATCGCCGTCCTCACCAGGAGCAGCCTACAGAGCTATTGTCGACGGCGGGGCGGATAGTCCGGCTGCACGTCAAACAACTGCCTCCCAGCCCAGCACCCTGTACCTCCTGTATCAATACGCCTTCGGATTAGGATTGACACCGGCGGATTACGGTGAGCCAACATCCTCCTCAGAGCAAAGTCAGCACCTTTCGCAGCTCACAAGTGAGCACCAAATCACGATCGCAGCCTCACGATGTCACTATGTTCTCCGCTGGCTCGCTTTCCGACTGCTCTCACTTGCTGTTGGCGTTTGCATGTTCATCTCGTCCGGACTGCCATTAGTCTTTTCAGTCTTGATCTTCCAACTCATGGACTCATTGGGCGCCGAGATGCAGCCGGTTCGGCAAACGCTCCTCTCATACCTTTTCCCCTTGGCCTGCTCGGGTGACGCTTGCGCTGACATAACGACGCAGGACAAACTCGTAACCAATTTAACTACTTGATTTAATATTTATTAATACGCTTTTTTTGGATCGTGAAGGGCAGGATCATAAGCGTCTGAAATTTTTGTACCAGAAAAAAGCAATCGCATGAACAGCTATGAACAAGTACAACTAAAATCGACTCTTAGAACGCACCACATCAGATTAACTTTCTTTGAGCAAGTTTAGTCACGACCACGTTTTTCGTGTTCAACAGTTGATGTTTTAGTCATTTATCCTCTCATCTCACGACATTTTCTTCAGGTTGCCACGTTCGGGCAGTATGCAATGGTTGGCTTTCCCTTCATCGGCGCGTCCATTGGACTGGAAATCCTACTGCTGATGGTTGTGATTCCGGAACATCGCAGACCGAAAGATTGCTACACTTTCGCAGATACCGTAATATCGCTGTTGATGGGTTTGCTCTCCTTGCTAGTGTCCAAGATTGCCTTTGTGTCATACGTGCCGATGTGCTACACCTTCGTGTACAACTTGATTCATGGCACTGGGCACGATCACAAAGACTTCGCTCTTGCGGGTGATCACGTATTGGGCGGATTGAGCAACGACGAGAACAATGCTTCTTCAACAGGAGGTCCTGGCGTAACATCTTCTCCTCCAAGTCCAAGTCTAACATCAGTTGGAGCAGCCAGTACCAGCTTTTTTGCCGCAGACGCTTCTTCGGCTTTGTCTTGGTCTTTCGCCAACGATTTCCTCGGATTCAATGAGGCTAACAGTGTGCCTGCGTTTTGGTTGGCCCTTCTTGCGGCAGACTTGTGGTACTACTTGGTCCACCGTTGGTGCCATGTCTCTAGCTGGATGTGGACGGTCCACGCGGTCCATCACAGCACGGAAGAATTCAACATCACCGCGGGACCGCGCGAAGGCTTTCTCTACTGGGTCACGCCCTATTTTCTCGCTGTGAACTTACCCCTAGCAGTCTTCTTCCCACCGCAAATTGCGCTGGCAGCTGTATCCATCATCAGCATCTGGCCCATTACCCTGCACACTGTTACCTTCCCAGAAGGCATCGTATACGGGTCAGCGCTCTGTGCCAAAGATCAACAAGTAGCAACTTCACCAAAATCAAAAAAGACTGACGACGTAACCAATGACGTGGTACTTCTAGATGCGTGTTACGGACGCAGAATAGAGAATCATCTCGTGTATTACTGGTCCTACATTCTGAACAACCCCAGTCTTCATCGCATCCACCACGCGCGCAACAGTGACAGGCTTGGAAAGAACTTCGGTTCAATCCTTGCGATTTGGGACTACGCTTTTGGCACTTGGGAGCCGGAGATCATTCATCTTCAAGAGTCTATCCCGGCCCTCCCAAATACGGAAACTACAGCTTCCTCTCCGCAAAAGAACAAAGTAGCACTAGATGACAAAGATGACCTAGAAGACAACGCAAACAACACGACTCCAGTGAGGAAGGCTCTTTTTGGCGAAAGCAGCGAAATCGAAGAAGCCAACAGCTCCTCCACGAACCAAGAAACCGAGTTCCGACAAAGAAGACAGCAACAGAAAAGCGCGGTCATGAATACGCGGGACGACATTTACTACGGCATTGTCCCAGTTATTAGAGTCACTGAGGGCGCAGGCGTGTGGTGGAACAACTGGATGCCATTTTGGCACATGTTTCAGGTGCAGACAGCGGAATACGGCCAAAGCTCTTGCCTGGCGCTCTGGTAGGAATGATTTTTTTCGCTCAACACACATGAAAACGTACGACAGCCCACATCATCCTGATTTTGTAAAATATTAAGCCGCTGTTCAAGTGGGAGTACTTGAGCCCATCATAGTGACTTCTGTGTTGACAGCCAATCTTTACTGACATCACACTTCATCTCACACACAGGGCACACTGGACACCTGGCCCCGAGTCACAATGTCCGAAGCTTGGGTCTCGGCTGAATCCAACCGACAAAGTAGTGCTGGATTCGGAAAGACATACTCCGGATGCCTTGGCAAGCAACAGTCTCTCACTTCTCGGAACTACAAACGGCGATATCTTGTCAGCGCCTTTACTAGCCCATGGAGGAGGAGCGGGAAGCCCGACATCACCATCAGTCGTACACGCGCGAGGAAATCGACAGGCAGGGTCGGAGTCCCCGTCCTCTCTGTCGTCGACACGTCCGGCTGGTTCTTATCAACGAGGCACACATACGGCTACTTCGAATGAGGTTTTTTCCTTCTGGGCGCGCGTGATGTACGTGTCATTGCACTCCGCGTTGTGTTTAGCTGTGGGTATCTGGTTGCTGATGGCGAACTGGGATGAGCTAACGATTTTCGACACGCCACTCTCGGACACGACCTTGACAATCGCGGTCTTTTTGGCGGTCTTCTATCATTGTGAATCCGTATCAAAAGTGCTAGAAACCGTGGTGATCGCACCAAGTGGCACTACCCAGGGAGGCTACTCGGCGTCGTCAGCGGCTCAGCACTGGCTATCGTGGCATCCTTGCTGTCTCGTGATCAACGAGGTTGTTCGAAATCTCTCGCTAGTAGCCCTTCTAGTCGCCTACCAGAGCACCGCAGTACCTGTGTATCTCCTCGTGCATATCGCGATTCTGCTCTTCGCATCTTACGCGGTGTCGCCCGTGCTTGAACTACACGGTGGAAAAACAGCGAAAGAACAGCATTCGCGTGCCGCTCGCTCGTTTGAAGTGACTGCAACGCGGTTGTAAGCAATCGTCACAAAGACCAGTCTTCTATTTTGTTCAAGATTGACGTTCACAAGTACTTCTACAAGACAAGGACCAATTTGTCGACGATGGCTGAATTTCCATACGCTTTTTCCACGCAGCATCATACCATGGGAGAAAGGATGACGCGCTCCCGCAAGCAAAAAAGGACAAGTACACTGGGACTGGTCAACAATATTTTTTCTTCATACGTCGACGTCGACGTGGTTCTGATATTATTTTCAGCATCTTTAGTAGCAGCATGATCAACAGCACAAGAAGAACGATTTCCATGCTTCTTATATTGCACCAGCATCAACATCAACTACTCAACAACAACGAACATCAATAACAGAAACAAAGACAAGATTCAGAACGTGAACAAGTAAGTAGCTCGTTGCAGAAAAACGCTGTAGCGCAAATGAATGCTATGTATACATAGTTGTATCGCAGCGAGGATACAACGAAGGAAGTAGCCACGACGCCGGCGTCGACGAGATACTGCATAAACAAGATCAAGGACATAGATCATAATTTTTTTACATACCAATAAATTCGGGAGTTGCTGCACTAGCGCTACTAGAACAGCTGATCGATTTGAATGAAAAAGTCCTCATCTTCTCGTAGTTGTGGTTCATTTATACATTTACATCTTTAGCAACTACTACAAGAACACGCTATCCGCTTCCACCTGTGCAGTGTATATTTGATAAGAGGACTTAAGTTTAATAAGATCTAGAGGCTGGCGTCCGCAAGTGAAATTAATATTAGATACATATCTTTCTGGCTCACGACTGCGCAAGGCAGGAAACTGATCAGATTAAGTACGTAAGTAAGGAAATGATCATTCAGCTTTACGTTTACTACTTCAACTTGTACCTCCTTCATCTTGATAACGTCACTGTTACATGAACGCTAGTTGCAGACAGAGGACATGGACATCCTACTTGTAAACTAAAACTAGTTTATTTGTGAAGAAGAGTCAGGGCAAATCCGTCAGACGAAGTGTGTTGAAATTAACTGTCTCGATGATTTTGTTGACATTTCCAACCTGCATGGAATATACATAGAGTCGATAGACGGGAGAGGCCATGGAATCAGGATGTAAAGCAAACTATGGTGATCATCAACATCGATTTGTACAACTTGTTATCATATGGGCATCAAGATTATGAGCAACGACAAGAACAAGTAGTATGACGAATGTACTTACGACAGCACAACCGCTGCTCATCCGCCGCAGAGACACACGACAGCTACGAAGATGCAGTTGCGCATTAAAATGAAGACAGAGACCCAATAACATCATTATTACGCAAGCAAAGCGGGATATGATCATAAAAAATCATAATACCGATTCAAACAAAAAGGTCTTCTCATTCTCAAAAATCAAAATTTTTGCGAGCACTCCTTTCCTGTGCGGCTTGAGCGGGGTGACCGACTGGACCGCCATTCTGCGCGAAAGCGGCGCGTGCGATTCTGGCGCAGGATGGGTGCAGCCGGGTGGTGGCCTTCCCTTGCGAGAGGCCACAGAACCCCCCGGCCGCGGTCAGCCAGCTTCTGGGGTTCCTCTGGGCCTCTCTCGGCTCAGATATCTACTTCTGCGTCGTTTTATGACCGGAAAACAGACCACAAAATAGGCATTGAGAAGAAAACAGAGCCAGCCCGAGAGTCTCGTCTCAAGGCTCTGTTGAGAAGATTATTTTCCACGCCCGACACGGTCGCGGTAAAACAGAGATATCAGTGAAAAACGCTAGAAGCTAAGGCGGCGAAGAGTCAGGAGGGCGAGAGCGGTTTCGCGTTTGCAGCGAATTGGGCCACAAATTTGATCCCCTTTGGAGGATGAGAAGAAATTTTTCTGCCCTTAGGAGATGAGGATGAGCCGGTGACGAGAGCAATGGGGGCCAGCCGTCCCCTCATTGGACTACTCAACGACTCTAGAAGCAAAGCGGAGATGGGCGAGGTCGTCTGGGTGCCGGCGCTGGAGTGCCTCGAGTTGGCGGCGATGTAGTCTGAATACGCGACAGGCGCAACAAAAATAATGACTTTTGAGAATGAGAAGATATGATGAATTCCTTGAAGATTTAGTGTTAGTCCACCATGAAACGACTTTGTTGTTGTACTAAAAATCTCTACTCTAATCTTCAAGAAGTAGACCTCGAGAAGCAGGTGCAGCATAGGTGTACTTACTTCTCAAACCAAAAAAGAATACATACTTGAGAACAAGGTCGTGAGAAGATGAACAACTAGATGAACTAGATGATGACGATCATGAACATGAAGACTACATGCAATAATCTCTTTGCAATACCTTGGTCGAAGCTGTGACTGAAAAGCCTCTAGGCTCGACATCGTGGCTGCAAAGGATAGTCCAAGTGAACAAATTAATATCATGATATCATGAAAGACAAAGATCATATTCTTGTCGTTGTGCCAAGATGAAAGGCACAAACTTCTAGAACCTGGCACGACTAAAGATATGCTGGAGGCGAAAGATTAGGTGTTCAACACTGGAAGATGTAGTCGCAACAGATGAGGAATGAGCTCGCGCTCCAAGGTTAGAGTAGAAGCGAGGTTCTGCTTCTGGGATCAGAGTCAGCTGCTTTTCTGGGATCAGAGTTCTGCTACTAGGACATCGGAACATTAAATGTTTCGATGTCCTAGTACCTCGTGAAGGTTTGGTTTCGTGCTGCTACGTCAGTGGGTGTTTCTACATCCGGTGAAAGAGCAACTATTTACTTTTGCAACAAATCTGTGGACGAGGCAGATGAAGATCGGCAAGATAATCAAGCATCTAGTACGTAGTAACACTTCTAGATCTTGTTCTACCAAGTAGGTGCTGCTAAGACTTATCCCAAACCCAGCAACTTTTAGTTATGGATGAAGGAGGTATGACTTACTTTTGACAGACGAAGGGTCTCATAGACCTGCTACTTGTGAACTCCATGCTCGATGATTGAGGATTTCTGCTCCATCGAATTTTGACTAATGTGTTTTAGCTTATTGTTGATTGTTTTAGACTTGGAAGAAGTGGTATTCTATTTTGTCGCTCCCCGTCTCCCGTTTTTAATCTATTGCCTTATAATCTTGTTTCTGAAAATCCGTGATTAATCCACTTCGATAAACGCGACTTTCAGACGAGGATTAGGATAATGAGTCGCTTTCACGTCTGTGCTGTTGCTTGCCGGGGGCGCTGGGTGATCGTGAATGAAAACATTGGGACATAGATGCTGACCACTCGAATACATCCGATCTTCATCAAATACTCACACGCCGTACTATCCGTCCTTTCATCAACCGATGTTGAGTTTTCGTCTGCTGCTCAGGTGGTTCTGGAGCTACAAGTTGAAGTTTTTGACAGAATTACGAGAATCAGAATGCAAAATCCTTTTTGCATATAGTAATGCTAAAGAATTCTCATGAACGTGATTTCTTCCTGGTCCTGCGTGTAAATACGAAGATAATGATCGGTGTCTTGGTTCAGTGATCATTTTCAAAGACTATTCCTATTGCATAATTGAATGATTGTCGTTCTTGCGACCTTTTGGAAAATGTTATATCTACTGCATGTGGACGACTATATTCTCAATTGATTAATTAGCGCGCGGTCTGGTTATGATAGTACTACTAGCAAAGCTGTACCTTGTCCTTGTTAATCAACAGTCAAAAATCTAGTAAACCTCTCGCAATTATTTGGTGGTATGCTGTCTGCACTGAACTTTGTGCGAGATTAATTCTATTGCAATTGCATTGCAGTTTGTTGAATTGATGGCGTATTCGACGCGGCAGAAAATTTTAGTTTTTATTTGGAACAAAGTCCATTATAGGAGCAAATTCTCGTTCGTGATGCGCGTCTCAATTTTCCAGCTTGTAGTGAGAGCTCAGCTTGTCACTGCTTGTTACTGCGCGGTCATCCTCCTCGTCATCAGGCGGATAGCAATGATAATTGCATGAGGGAAATTGATTGTATTTGCATGAGGACAGCAATTATCATCCTGGGATCTGCAAAGATAACAGGTTACGGCATTCATATTTTCCACCTTAACGCGCTGTTTATGAGGCCTTACGCAGGTTCCTCTCTACAGAGTGCTTGCATGCGTGGGAGTCCGCGTGTCCAAGCAATAACATGAACAAGTATGATGAACAAGTGATGGCGAACTGGTCTGCGTTCTAGTGGTGCTGCAAGAAAATGCTAATCCATTTGTCAGATGGAAGAGAAAGTGTCGACACCCTACTTTGCTCTTCATAATGATGTTGACTCTGACATCAACAACAGGGAAGCAATGCTAGTCGAAGCATGTTGTAATCGCCTCTGCAAGCAGTTCAGATGAACTACTACAAGAATACGAGTAGCATGTTGCAGCGGTTTTTATAAATCAACAGGTTGCTCACATCGTTGTGAAATTTTGAAATAGAGACACACAATTACAATTTGCGAAAACTGAACTGGGCGTGTACTCCACGAGGATCGGAAGACATGAATCATTGTCCACGACTGACTGCAAATTATAACCCATCCAGCTGCTCTTCTCCTTGTGCGAGTGGGTGCACATAAATTTCGAGAAGTAACCAGGTCGTTCGTGTGCGTGCTGCCTGAGTATCATGCACAAGGACCTACACTCTTACTGCTGGGCATCCACAACTTTTTTCTACGCAAAATAGAACAGGGAATGGCAAAGAAGATGCAGGTTCGTTGCGAAATCGCGCGTTTTGATATTTCTTGCCAGTTTATTTCTTGAGGCCTTCATTTCCTTAGAAGAGCCATGTGGTCATATGACTTTATAGTACTTTCTTATTATGATTGAATGTCAATGTTGTGTTACATCAATGGCCCATTATTTATAGTCACTACTAGAAGCAGATGAAATTACGTATGATATAAGTATCTTCTGTTCTTGTACGCGCCACCATGTCGATCAAAGAAAGTGGAAGTCGAAGTTGAATCATAATTTTTTTCCCTGGCATGAGTATAAGAATTTCGTTCCTCCTTGATGTAAGGACATATCAAAAAGTAGCTTACTCCGATGACGATGATGAATGCAGATTGCCACCGTGGCGTCTGTGTCTTTTCATCATGCAGATGCGGATATTTATAGAACTTCTTCCGCAGTCACGTGGGCCATCTAGTCTCTAGTGCGAAAGATCGAGCCGCGGCTGGCACTGCTCAAGCGCCCGAAGGCACTAAGATGGGGAGCGGAGGCGTCGCTGCTGTCTTTCACCGCCGTCGCTCTCATTCAGCACGTTGCTGCTTGCGGGTTCGTGGCATACGGGTACACCATAGAGCAAGAGGCCCGCCTACGCGTCAATGTTAGACGCATTAACCCAGCGGCAGGACTCGTTGCGGAGGCCGGGCGCTCCATCCGCCGCGGAGCTCTATGGCTGACGAGTGGCTGCGCTCGGTTTGCAACGTCCTGGCCTATCGCTCAGCGACTACCTTAGAAGCTGTCCTCCGAGGCCCGCCCATCGGTCTGCCACACCCCTCGGGCCGACTACTGTCGTGCTTCTGCCGCACCGCTGGCCGCGCACTGCGTGCCGGCCTTAGGTTTGTGGGGCTATCGAGTCCAGTGCCAACGCATGCGCTATCGGGTGAATCGGCGGCCACCATGCCCATGCTGAAAGCGACCCGACACCGGGGACGCCCGGAGGACGAACGCAACGAAAGAGACAGAGGCAGCGCCTCCGACGTCGAAGCCGATACATCACAGCTACGCACCCGAGTTGCCGCCGCCCAGGTGCCTAGAAGGAGAGTGGGCGACGCATGCTATCACTTTACTCGCAGCAGTTGGATGGTCTGCGGGTGCGGACTCGGTCGAACAATATCAGTCATGGCAGGCGCTCCTCACCGTTCGGCCGCGCTTGTCTCTGATATACACGGACTGGCCAGAGTCTACTGCCCCCCTCAGGCGCCGAGGGAGCCGATGACCCCGAGGGGCTTGGAGCTAGTCGCCGCCACAGGTGGACCCCTCAACGCAAACCAAGTAGGAGCGGCAGGCGCTCTCATCTTCTAGCTACCATGGTGAGGCTGTCGCGCTCGCGTGAGTGAAGCTGTCCGGCGGAGTCCTCTCCAGCTACTCCATGGAAACCCGAGCAGTCGCGGCAGGCTTTCGCTTGGCTGTCGTGAAGAGCGTACACGAGAAAGAGAAGGGACGCGCCAGGGCGCCGAGTGGGCTCCGGCTCACCTTGCTCACAGGTTCACTCACTGCTGCAGTCTCGTGGACATGGTCGCCAACGCGTGCGCAGGCAAAAGAGGCCGGGCACGGACTTAGTTAGGCGGTGCAGGGATGCAGTGCCTTCGGGTGGTCGCGGCTGCCTGCTCAGCTTTCCACGAGGTGCGGCCTCGGTGCGGCTTGCTTCAGTGGATTTTCGGCCGCGTCGATTGTTCCCCGCGCGCGTGATGTAGTAGACGCCATCGCCTCGCACGCCGCTCGATGCGCCGCGCGTCGCTAAGAATATTGGGCACACAGCTGGCCCTTCAACCTGGGCGCCACGTGCGCAACCAACTAGGGGCATCGCCTGAGGAAGAAGAGTAGGCTTGCAGAAGAAGAGGCGGCCGCCCTTCGTGCTCTGGCGCTTGCAGTCGGTCCCCAGCTTCAGCGGGCCCGCGGTTAGAAGCTTGCACACCACCAGACAGACGCGCCGGACCATGCTCCGCGGCATCCTCGCCCAGTGGGCGGGAGCTGGCTCGAGGCGAGCCCAAGTCGCTGGCGCCACCTTATTCAATCTCAATGGGTCCAGAAAGAAACAAATGGGCCAAGGATTCTGGTCCTCGACTCTGGCCTTGCAGTTTATGGCAGCTCTACGCTGACACGCCGACGCATCTCTTGGCTTGTACCCAGACCAGAGGGCGCGCTTCTCTGTTACCGCGGAGGAACTCGCAGCGTGGTCGCCTGTGTGCGATTGCGGAGGAGGATATCGCACATGGAGGGGGCGGACGCTGGCGAGGAGTAGCTTGCTACGCCCTTCCCAGGGTCTCCCTTAGCTGTTTTGGCGTTTTGCTGTAGTTTTGCCACTACCTCCCCCCTGCGATTCTGCAGGTTTTGATGCTCTCTGTCTCCCCTGCGAAGCCTCGCTGAGGAGTTTATTTGGCCTTCTGGCTTACCGGTTTTGCCTCCCCTTGAATTCGTTGCAGTGCAATTCTGTCGCTTTTTGACTCTCAGACTTGCGCGGATCCTTACGCAGCAACCATCGCAGTTTTGTCGCTCTTGTTGTTGTACTCCAGGTCGGGGACCGGACTGACAGCAGTGCCTTGGCGTGGCGGTCCGGCTTTCAACTAAACTAACTGCTAAGCTTTTGCCAACTACCAACTCTGCGCCTTGGAGGCGCTCCGGACGTTGATGAGGTAGTCCCTAGGCTGGTCTTATGATCTTGCGTTAGACTGCGCGCGGAGTACTGTAGTTCCCAGCCCGCACCTCCCCGGGCTCACCTCGCCCCGCTAATAATATTTATAGGGCTTCTCCGCTAATAATTTATTTATAGGACTTAATACATGGGTCGTGATAATAATCTATCTTCGTGAAAAATGAAGAATGATTTTCAGTCTCCAGCTTCACCACCACTAGCACTACAACAAACTACAGCTATAGTTAGTAAAGAACCTTCTACATCTACCTTAATCTTCGTCCCACTCCCTTATTCACTGAGGAAAGTAGACGTCCGAGGCATACTACACAGCGCATGAGAGGATTTTTAAACATATTCAGAATATCATTATCACGCATATTACAACTAGCATCTACAACACCAAGAACTACCGAAAGTACTAGTAGCCTCGTCGCTCCTGCGTACTGCGAGAACCAGATAGAGGAGCTCCACATCCACATCTTCAACATCAACAACACAGAACTACCAACTTCGTCCTCCCATCCGCAATCACATCAGCGGTACGAAAAGAAAATCTGCCACTTTCGACGTCAGTTTCCTCGTGAATGACTACAAATAGTACCTTTTGTCCCGCTCATCGTGCAGCGAAGAGGGGCAAAAGCTCCAATAACAAAGAAAAATGGGACCACGAAGCAATGCTTCGGCGGCGTCATCGGGAGAAGGGCAGAGGACCTGGGATCAGAAAGGTTCAGGGGTTCCTGCAGCGTCTTGGTGGAAAGGAGCGGGAGGCAACAACAATCGAAACGGCCCGGGAGGTGGAGGGCATCGTGGTGGACCAAATTCTTCATCGGGTGCCATTGCTTATAACAAGAACAACATGAATTTATTTCATAGCGCCAACTCTACTCAACAACGAGGAGAAAGTATGCAGCACAGTGGAGTTGGACCTCAGCAGAATAACAGATTGAATGGATACAATAATTCGCAATCGTCTGACTCCGCTGGAGGTGGTAGTCAACACTACAACAGCCAGTATGGTGGTGGACCTAGTGTAAGCGCAACAGCTGGATTACACCAACACCAAACAGCGTCATCTTCCCTGAATAACGCCATCTCGACGGGGGGTGGTGGAGTCGGAGGAGATTATAGCAACAGCGCCGCACCAGACGGAACAGGTAGCGGAGCGCATCAAAAGCAACAGTCGCACGGAGGGAGCGACTCTACAACTGCCTATACTAGCACTCAGAACGACGTGAGCGCCGCGTTATCCATAAACAACAACATCCTACGTGGGGGTGGCGGTTCTGCTTTTTACTCCTCATCTTCACAGCAGGTCACACATAGGAGAGGTTTCAGCAACAGCGCCAAACAAGAAAATATTACTTACAATAATGGTGCTGGCGGTTCGTACAGGCACAGCAGGAGCAAGGCTAATCATAATCAGGATGGAGGTGGCGTTGATAGTGCAACTACAAGCTCTTCGTCGTCGCGAAACGACTATGCAGCTTGCGCTGCGCTATTGGCATCGCCCGCAGCAAAAAGTAACAATTCCAGCTCTTACCGCGCCACTGAACACCAGCTCCATTCGGATCATAAGAGCAGACACGTCGACCCGCATTTTGTCACCGAGTACTCATATGGGGGCGACGGTATTCGTGGTTCTAGCGCCACGACTATTCCACCTCCATGTTCAGGAGTCCACCCCACCAGAACCAGAGAAGACGGCGCTATAGGTGCAATTTCTGCGATTGGATCTAGTGCTGAAGATCACACCTCCTTCCAGAGAGACAACAATTTCGCCAGGATGACCGAGAACGATCTTGTACTAGGCGAACACGGAGCTGCGGAAGCCGCCCGTCAACAGGGTTCAGGAGGTGCGAGCGGGTCTCGGGGCTGGTGCTGGCAAGGCTCCGATCGTCTCCCACGACGTTCCCTAAGCGGCAGCTCGCGCCACGGTCGCGGAGCGGCGAAGCCGCCGCCGGGGCTCTGTGTTACGCCGGGCGCGTTCACTTTGTGCCGAAACTTCGACTTGATCAAGGACGACCTCGATATTGATGATTCCGCGGGAATCCGTGAGATTATCCAGGACCGCAGAGGCGCTCCTGCTAGTACTACTGAGAAAAATACAGCTGAGGCGATTGGTGCTGCAGGAGGTCAAGCAGCTGTTGGAACAGGAGCTGTGGGACAAATAGACGGTAAATCTTC